TTTAATGTCGCTGCTGTTCAGTGCGCTGCACACAAACAGAAATAAATGAGATGGAATCTGTGACTGAACGCTCCCCTGAAGTTTTTATTTTACTTACCAACCTTACAAACGAGAAAATTAATTGTGAGTAGAAACAGACTATATATATATTTATATTGTGGGGACATGTGTATTGTATCTCGTGGGGGGAAAAAAAAAACTACCAACAAAGTCCATGCTCAATAATCCAGGTATACCTGGATTATTGAGCATGGACTTTGTTGGTTTTGAACTGGTTTGACATGACTGTCGACGAGGAAAATGGCCGACACCGGCGGAGAGGGCGTGCCAAAAAGACCATCTTAGCACCAACATAACTGGTTTGTTCCACTTTGGAGTAAGCTGTTTGGGGGAAGAATCAGTTTTGTGTTGCATGTTTCCTTGACTGATGAAGCCTTCTGGATGGAAGGTGAAATGTTTCAGCAAAAAAAAAAAAGAAACTGTCTAGATGACATGACTGAAAATTGTTGGATATAAAACTTGAAGTATATAAAAAAAAAAAATGGCTAATAATATTCGGATGTTCTACATTCACTCACTTTCCATCCACAGCATCCACCACTTTGACGTCAATCTCCAGCTCATTCAAAGAGAACAACATCCTGTCTCTTCGGTCCGACCGGCGCCGCAGATTAATCAGAAATATCTGAGGACAAATGGACAAACTTCAGGTTGGACTTGGTCTGTGCGTCAATGTCCATTTAAACCAGCTCACAAATAACTTGACTCATGCGTTCTCGTTGCGTTCGTACATCGTTTTTAATTAGTATCCACTACAAAAACTGTTAAATATAAGAATGATGTTTTCTTTATTTGCACCTCGTCAAATCCCATCAGGTCTCTCTGTTTTGGGAACATGTGGACGAATCGAGAAGGATACATGCGTGGACCATCGACTGTAGAACAAAGAGGAGAGATGAGTCTGGGGGAGAAACTACATGCACACGTGGTTGATTAGAAAAAGGTTTCCGAGACTTTTTCTCAGTTTTCTTACTAATCGACTCAAGATGGACGTGGACAAAGTTGAGGCGATCGTCCTCCAGTGTTTGGTGAGGTTTGGCGGGAACGTTCAGGTAGCCGTAGCGCTCCTTGTTGCACAGGTACATTTGGATCGCTGAGCACAAAACGATCAAACAGTAAAACAGTGAGTACAAGAACATTCTGGGATTTTATCCCTTATTGAAACAGTTTTGTCGATATTCATTTGAACAACGATGCATTGTTACCAAAACATATTCTACACATTAGATTTAACATTTAATGAGGATATTTTATAAGTTATTTATATACTTGAAGGTTTATATGTTTAGGAATAACAGGTTATACTTTTATTTTGTCTATTTCTGCCTAAATGGACATAAACAAATGACTATACCCTAAAATAAACCTTGTTTCTTAAGATATTAAACATCAAATTCCTTCTTTGTGATGATTGATCGGGCTTTTATTGACACATTTGTCTGGTTTTTGGATGTAAAACATCTTAAGTTTTGTTTTCATTACTCAAAAGGCAATAGTCACATGTTCTCTAAATACTTGCTTGAACCTAACATTTGAAGTCCTAGACGTTGACCTCTTCTCCATCTAATTTCAAAACCTTGTTCCACATTGAGATGACCGCAACCACCTACAATTGTAACACAGACTAGATTTGATTAAACGAATAAAGACGACAAACCAGCAGCGCGGCAGGAGAAGGCAAACACGATGATGTCATCGTAAGGCCATGAGTAGTCGTCATGGGGAGGGTAGAAAGCCAGATTCTTCATGCCCTCCTTCCTTAAATCCAGCAGCAGGGTGCTGTGGACCATCGGGACGGGGAAGCAGCCCAGTCTGTGACGGTACCGTGTGGGGAAGTACTCTGCTGTTCGGCGATAATAACCCTAGAAAACAGGGCGGATACCTAAAGCAAATATCATGTGTGAAAGATCGACTTTTTGCCCTGATCAGCTGCTCACCTGTGGAGTGATGCCACACCAGAAGTTGGAGTACGCTCCCTGAGAGTCCAACATGGGGGCGATGACGGACTTGTTTTCTGCTATGAGCAGGCTGAGGGTGTCTGGGTTGGTGAGGATATTGTCTGTGTCAGCAAACTGAAACAAACATTAGAAAGAAGGGACTTAACAGAAAATTGCTGTGCTAGTTGTCATATTACTGGCTAAAAATACATGAAACTAAAAAAAAAGGGGCACAAATATATAAATTTGTAACGAACCAGGATGTAGTCAGCCCAGCGTTTCCTGGAAAAGTTCAGCGCTGCCTGTTTGAGCTTCATCACATACTCGTATCTGCTGCTGGGCCAGTGTTTAGGACCCAGCTCTCCTGCATAAGACCTGAGGAAGAGACATGTCATTACAAGCTTTGAGTTTTCATTAAATTTGTTCACGCGCATGCAGGAATCCATTATGTTTTCATGCACTTATGGATGAACTCGTTTTAAACTGGGAGCACAAGACATGGAGTTTGTTGGAAGCTGCGCTCCCCGAATGTCCTTCTGGTTTATAACCGAGTTAAGACTGAAAGGTCCCAACAGATAAATGCATTTTCTGCACAAATCAAATTTTAAACAAGAAACAAAAACGACTTTGTCACATTCTTATGCCAAGCTTAAAACTAAAGAAAAAAAAAACTGAAGGTGATGGCATTTTTCCCCTCAGTGCACATGTAGAGTGATGCAACCGAAGACATCAACACATATTTTATAGTTGTGCACGTATAAGCACAAGATGAACGGCATGACGCCACATGTAGCTACTCTATAGAAACCATCGAATTAAATCTAAAAATAGTTCAAGGCGAAGGCTCGGTACAAATGACCTTAAAACAAAAGAAGCCTGGTCATGCAACCTAAACTGGAGCAAGTTAACTGAGTTCAGTCGGGCTTAATAACTTCCAGATAGAAATTCTGACAGTTCTGTGCAAAAGCCTTAATGAATCCCTGATTTCTTTAGAAGTGGCTTCCAAAGAGCCAGGTGGTTCTTGTTCTTCCAGCTATGGCTGCTTGAACACTCATTTTCTGAGAAAAGTGCTCAGGGACGAGGCAAGTTTTAGTTTGTTGGAGCGCTACACGCTGTCCTGATGATTCAAACACAAACATGCCAAAAGCCACTGATCCTTTTAACCATTTCTGTAATTCAAAGGACTAGGACTGTCGCGATAAACAATTAATCGCATGATAAATGAAAATTATCGACCTCGTTTTCATTCATCTGCTTTATCGTTTGTTTCTTCGTGTCTCTCTCTTTCTACTGAAGACACTGGACGACAAAAAGCTCAACCCCGGTGCTCTTCACTGACCCTCCCTTTCTCTTTAAAATCCATTTTAATAGTCTAAAATCGCGTTTTTGGATCGTTAAAAGCAGCTAAGCTACGAGCTAAGCTAACAGGTCAACCTCGGGGGGGGAAAAAACCTCCGTTTTGTCGAAGTTCCAAAATTCACGTTTGAAACCTGTGCCTTCGTGTAAATTTTTTTCTCTGCAAAAAAGAAGCTGAGAACTTGTTTACTGATTTTTTGTTTATTAAAAAAAAACTTTGTGTGAAAAATGCTATGCTAAAGAGCTCAAACCACACCAAGCGTACGCCATTTTAAGAACCAAATAAAGGGAGAGACAGCCCATGTCACGTCAAGGGGCCTCCCTCCCATTTTTCTTAAAGAGACACGCTGCTCGCTCCCTCACTATCCATCCTGCGGTTCAAACAGTATTATACTGCCATCCGGTGGTCGAAAAAAGGTACTACACGCAAAACAAATTAAACAACATTTCTTCTTAAATTTCAAACAATATTATCGTTTATCTCAATAATTTCTGACACAATTAACCGCCCAGCAAAATTTGTTATCGTGACAAGGCCTACTAAAGACTCACATCGTTGGTGCTAAAATAGTCTCAGGCCGTGCTATTTTATCAGTTAGTTAGAGACAGCACTAGTTCATCCCTTACATTTAGTATTTTAATGTCTGTATGATTCATAAGGCAGAGTTAAATGGTTCTTGGGAAATATTTGTTCTGATAAACACAAACAAAACCACGTTTCCATTTCAGAAACACAGGTACAGATGTTGTCCCGGTGAATATTTGCTCAGTCCTTAGTGAAGTTCAGTACATTTGAAACTTACGTGGGCTTGTCCATCGGCCTCCACTCAACGTAATGGTAATATTTCTGCATGACAGTCAGCCACTCCTTCAGTATGGCTGTGGTGTTGTCAGAGTTGTGATCTGTGGCTGCCCTGGGAAAACACAAAGTCCGATAATGACAATCAGGCTTCAGCTTTTCCTTTTCTTAACTCCTCTTAATACTATGCGTTTTAGCACAACTCTATTTCACTTCTTCAGTTTAATTTGGTTGCAGTTTGCCACCTTCGTTTTAGAGATGAGAGAAACCTCTGGGTTGCTTTACGTCATCTTCAACTTCACTCTGGTGCAATTTATGAGACATTTCTCGGGGAAACACAACAAATTTGTTCGTTCACCTGAAGAAGAAACACGGCATTGATAGCCATGTTGTGTAAGCTCAACATCTATTTTTATTTCTTTATAACGGAAAGGTCATCAAGGCACTTTTAAGTTAACTGGTTTAAAAATGCACTTAAACATGAGAAATGTGAGACCATACTGAACAGGTCATTTATTTTTGTTTTTTTCATTAATTAAGAAAATTATTGTTTTTTATTTAAATGCCTGGTGCCTGTAATAGAAATAAAATAGTTAAATAATATTTAAATTGTTTTTGTAAATTTATTTATATGTAAATGAGATGGACATTTGATATCGAAACATCAATAGCAGACTTGTGAGTCGAACAAAATCGAAATCGTATCATGACAGACTTTGTGATATCGAGAAAAATCGTATCGTCATACGTTATCGTATCGTCATACATTATCGTATCGTAATATATCATCAAATCAATATAATATCGTATTGTGGTAAAGCTGGTGATTTACACCCCTAGTATCCAATAATTGTTTCATTAAAATTCATCCAGTTTATGAAATATTTTGCTAACAAATGGACATTTAATTATTAAAGTTAATGGAAACATGTCAGGCAAGCTCAGAACATGCACTGTGGATCAGCCTTGGCTCCAAACACACCACAATTCTGGAAACCTGTAAATTTGACCGAGTTGTAGCTTACAGTAAGTTTAATAAACACTGTTAGCTGTGGCGGCCATCTTGAATCAGGCTGACGCCAATGACTCATGGTTCATGGGATGTTTTGCTAACAGAGACACAAAATGTGATGCTTCATTTGATATGTGGTACAATCTCTGTTACATTGGAGCAAATAAACAGCATGAGGAGGATTCTTCTTTCACAAAGTCAGATAAACTAAGTAAGTGAGTGAGTGGAGGAAACAGGACACCCACCACACAGAGATGCGGTCTTTGGGGTAGCTGAGCCGCTCCAGAGCTCCGAGGAAGTATGGCAGCGAGTGAGCGGCGTTCCGGGCTATGATGGCGAGAACCACGGTGGGAGGCTGCATTTTCGACTCCTCCGGATACTTCTCCTCCGAAAAGTAACACTCAGCCCGGAAAAGCAGCGCCGCCGACAGTAAAACGGGGAGCAACATGATGGAGGTCTGCACCGCGGTGGAAAAGTGAGGCACGTAGAGGCTGGACGCGTCAGCAGTGGGAGAAATGGGGAGAAAAAAAATTAAAAATCCCACATGTCCCCTCCCGGCCCCCGTAACCTCCTACTTCTTCTTCTTCCTTTTTTTCTTTCTTCTTCTTCTTCTTCCTTTTTTCTTTCTTCTTCTTCTTCTGGAGCCTGGAAAAAAGGTTCATATCTTTCGCTGTCAGGAAATAAAAAAGTTGTACAGTTTGTTATTGTTATGATTGTTTTTAATTCAGGCGTTTTAAGAAATACATTGTTCAACCTTTGCAGCGCTGCAAAGTCCTGAACGAACCGTTCACAACTCACCGTTCACAACTCACGAGTCACTTCAGTGATTCGATTCACTGAGGTAACGTGTGCCGCAACTAGCTAGCAGTAGCTAACTATCATGCTAACTGGGGAAACGAATCACTCAGTTGTAGTGGTCTGTGAGTTCTGTACGAATCACACGAATCCTGACGCTCGTATGAGTCAGGAATCACAAAATCCAAGTACCTGACTCAAACGATCAAACCAAGACGGTGGGAGTTCGTATCTCTGCAATGATTTGTTGTTGTATGTGGACAAGTAATTTCTTTGAGCTGCTCAAGCTAATAAGTCTGCAGTTCTGTTGTGTGTGCATGACTCAAAAACAAGTTTGGGGGGTGAGTAAAACTTTCCTGAAAGTGATCAGGCTCGTGGGATTTACTTAGCTGCAGTTTTCAAAGATGACCAGCAGGGGGAGCCGCCGATCTGTGAAAACTCAGTTTATATTACGACTTTTTTCTGGTTTTAGAGTTCCATCCATCCATTATTTTTTACCCGCTTATTCCTTGTTGGGTCACGGGAGTCACTGGTGCCCATGTCCAGCAATCACTGTGCCAGAGGCGGGGTACACCCTGGACAGGTCTCCAGTCCATCACAGGGCCACTTACAAACAACCATCCGGGTTGATGGGGGCCCTGGACCGGGATTTGAGCCGGCAACCTTCCTGCTGAGCTCTACCAGTTGTGCCACCATGCTGCCCAGTTTTAGAGTTAATAATAATAATCAAAAGCCACTTGGACTTAACTTGAGTGTTCCCAACACTTTAAAAAGCAAATATATAATATAATAGAAAATGCGGTGAAAGGCAGTTTTGTGAGCCATAAAATTACGCTCGAAGAGTAGTACATAACGATTAGGGTAATGATACATCCTGATATGGTTTTCCTGAAGTCTTTACCTGCAAAGTTGCGGCTTTTATTTAAAAATCAGTTTCTTTGAAAAGCTTATAGATAAGTAATATCTTACCTGGGCAGCATGGTGGCTCAGTTGGTAGAGCTGTTGCCTAGAAAGTTGCCATATCGAATACCAGCCAGGGGCCTTTCTGGGTGGAGTTTGCATGTTCTCTTCATGGGTTTTCTCCAGGTGCAGTTTCCTCCCACAGACCAAAAACATGCATTAGGCTGATTGGTAACTAAATTATCTGTGTGATTGAGAGTGTGAATGGTTGTTTGTCTCTATGTGTCCCCGTGATGGACTTGCGACCTGTCCAGGGTGGATATGGACACCAGTGTTCTGAAAATGAAGAAGCAGACAAAGATAATGGATGGATGGAATATCTTACCTGTTGTGGATAACTCTACGAACAAGTTTGGCAAAATTAAGTTTATATAAAGTTTAATTCTGCTAATATTGATGAGCTAATAGCTAATTTGAGTGGGGTCAAAACCAAAGTAGATTGTTGCCATTCAAAAAACATAATCCTAAAACCATTGTGGTTTATGCAAATGTTAATTCATATACCTTTATATTGCTGTCAGCTTTATGATATCCTTGCATGAAGGGCCTCAACCTGCACAAGTAGTGTTACAGATAGCGACTGTATTTGCCCTTGGAAGTACCCATATAAGTCCAGGATAATAATTGTGTAATACAATCTTTGGCAACACTGTAAAGTTGTTTATTTTATTTAAAATTGAATTTATAAGAACCAGACTAAAAATTTTGAGAACAGACTTACTAGCCATTAGCTTGTCAACCTGGGCCAAGTTGAACTCTTGAAGCTCTGTTTTTCTATTGAGATCATGCAAAAAGCTGTCTACAACAGGTAAGATATTACTTGTTCATAACCTTCTGATCGAACGCAACTTCAAAACATGTTAACAATGACATCGTTCGACTTGTTTCTTCAAAGTGCTTTTGGCCAGCTCTGTCAGAAGCAACAATCTGCACCTTCCTCAGTGCAGAAGGGGGTGAAGCGATAGCTACAGAGGCCGGATGGCTCCATGACAGAAAGCTTTAAATGTGGGATTGACCTGAGGCTTGACAAGCAATAAAATTTGTATGTGTAAGAAGAAATTTCTTACCTACCCTTCCATACTTTATTATTTAGATTCTAAGATGATGATGCTTTCTTGTTGACTAAAAGATCGGTATGGCCTGTAATCATTTGAAACCGCAAAAGTTTTAATGCAATCTGAGTAAGATTGTTTAGATTAAGATGGACAGGACTGAGGCTCTGCGGAAGGAGAGGGATGGGAACGAAGCACGGAGAATTGGGGGGGGGGGGGGGGGGGGGCAGGACAACAATAAACAAAGTGATCTATAATGAATTTTGAGGATTTTTTCTGTGGAGAAAAAACCCCGAAAGCAGTCAAGGGTGACAAAAGGGACTGAAGGGGGACGTTTGCTTGGACAGGTCAAAGGGGTTGGTGGTTGGGGGGGGGGGGGGGTGTCAAAGCTCTCCTATTCATGACACCCCAAGTATTGCCACGCTCAAACACACACGTGTAAATGTGTACGTCTGTGAGCGTCCAGGGCGACTTTCCCAGCATTCGTGGCTGCAGCTGATCTGGGAGAGTTCAACCTCGGGTGCACTAACTTTTCACTGCGAGGTCAAGGGTGGAGACGGCGTTTGTGTGAGGGGGGGGGTGAACGGAGGGACGAGGAGAGGCGGAGGAAAAACACAAAAAAGAAAATCCTCATTGTTTTCATTAGATGTGCAGCTTCGCTTGCAACCGTTTACCAAACAACTAAAAACAGATTTGCCAGTTTACCATAATTTTCGGACTATAAGGCGCACCCGATTATAAGACGCAATATCAATGAACGGGTATGTTTTCATACACACGGCGCATTAAGCGAAACGAAAACATTTTGGCCAATTTTTGAGCACCGTGTACAACCAAACAATATTAATGTTAAAAATCTATGCAGTTTGAGCCATTCTGGTTGAAATTAATATGATCACATGCAATATCGCAACACATTGTTGGTGCTCAAAGTATGTGTTGTGAATCACGCTCAGCTACTACCACAACAAATTTTACCTCATTAACTACAAATGGTTGAATGGCAGCCATATTGCTGAGGTTGCTTTGTTGTGGCAGCCATCTTGAATCAGGTTGACTTCAGAGGTAAAATCTGTCCGACTAGATCACGAGATATTTTGCTAACTGACAGGGTAGACTAACAGTTAAGGACAAATCTTTCAACAAAGAGTCTGTTTGCGCTTAAATAATGTGTTCAGGATGACTTTCAGCTACTACCACACCAGCTTTTAGCTCAATATCTGTAAAGCTGACCGTGTTAGCTAAAGTCAGTTTGCTGTAACGGCCATCTTGACTTCAGAAGTCAATCAGTTGTAGATGTACATTCAGAGTTTCATCAAAAATCCAGTGGTGTATGAGACATTTTGCTAAAAGCGACAAATAAACACACACAGGAACACATATATTGTCCTCTTTTTTTAATGGATGCAGTAACTGGTTTGATGACAAATCTGCCTCCACCCAATAAAACAGAATCAGTCAGTAAAACACAAACAAAGCGATCTAACTTTTACCGCTTTGCTCAGTCAGAACCCTTCATTTAGCACAAGAGGATAATTGGCTGCAGGTTTGGATCATTCTTTTGTGTTTATGTGATGGGACTGGGGCTCGTGTGCACCTCAGAGTTGTGACATTCTCACAGACTCCTGGGACCTTTATTGCCGTGACAATAATCAATATCGTTCCCACAGAGACGTCTCCTGGCTCGGCGGGTCAATACCTGCCAATCAGGGTCTGAGCCGTGGCACATCTCCTCTTACTCAGCAGCTACGACAGCCTCCTCCTCGCCTTCCACGTCCTCCTGCAAACCTCTACGGAGCGTTGTGTTTTCACAGTTTGAGAATTAAACATGTCCACCGGAGCTGCTTTGCGTGTGCGCTGCCGGACTCGAGCAAAGCAGAAAATCACACAATTTATTTTGGATTGGAATTCAGTTTACCTTGTAACAATTTGTTGAAAGTGGGTGAAAACTGTCTCTGCCTTCACTCGTTGTTGGGAGTTGAAGCTGACAGAAGCTGCCATGTTGTATATTTGGAACCAGAGTCTGTGCAGTATAGATGTAGGGCTTGAAGTCCCATCTTCTCTAAGTAATTACAGCTAAGTGTGTTAAGAACAAATGTTTAAGCATACAGTAGCAGGGGCAGGACTACAGGAATCAACAGCTATCAACACCTGATAAAAGTATCTGAAGTTTACATTTTTTGTCACACAGGCAATGTAGAGGGCGGGGCTTAAAACTGAAGGCTGTTTTTTTTTTTCCACCTTCCAGGTTCTGGTCCGAGATTTACCTTACATTTTTAGGAATGAATGAGTTATTGTGACACAAAACCAGAGCAGGATAAGAATTGAGGACCCAAATTCATTCATGAAAAGGACTGGTCATGAAAATTATCCACAAGGAGGTGACTAAGCACGAGGAACAGGTGTGACAAAGAAACAGCAACGCAAACCAGGAAGTGACTTTACAACTCAAACTAGGAGTGAAAAAGTCAAAAGAAAATAATTTACCATTTAAAAAAAACTAAATCTAATCTTAAACATAACAAAAGAACTGTGACAATTTTTGATTTTATGTGTATCACTCTAAGTGGTCAAGTTAGAAAATCTATACACAATTTTAGTGCAAATCCATCAAACTTATGGCATGCAGGCCAAACACGGGCCTTGTTTAGATATTATTTGTCCCGTAAGAAAATATTTTAAATGTCTTGGAAAT